CAAGGACTTAAAATTGAACAGTTGTCACACTCACTTCATCAACACAAAGTCGTTCTTTTCTTTTAGCTATAACATTTGTGAAAATGTTTTCTTCTGGGAAATTCTAATCGTTTTCTGTTATTATTATGGATCTCAGGCACTTGGCTTCTTATCCCTATCTGCTGTTCTATATTCAATCAAATCTTCCGACTGCCATTTTGCTGCAAATAACATGGCTGCATGCTCCCCTCCACAGTTTCAAATTATTTTCTTCTTCTTCTCTTTGTATTTATTTGCACTAGCACAAGGAGGACATAAACCTTGTCTCCAGGCTTTTGGAGCAGACCAGTTTGATGAGCAAGACCCAAAAGAATGTAATGACAAAAGCTCATTCTTCAATTGGTGGTTTTTTTCCATGAATTTGGGTATTATAGTTTCTCTCTTTGTATTGAACTACATCCAAGACAACCTAAGTTGGGCTCTTGGCTTTGGAATTCCCTGCATTATCATGTGCCTAGCGCTAATTATATTTTTGCTTGGAACTATGACTTACCGATTTCGCATACACAGCGATGAAAGAAACCCATTTGTTAGAATTGGTCAGGTATTCCTGAATGCAGCTAGAAATTGGCGGAGTATCCCGGGAGCAATATCTAAGGAAGAGGAACCACAGGGAATTCTGCCATATCAAGGATCTCAACAGTTCAAGTAAGTCAACTGCCCCTTTGTGTGCTTTGATATTTGGAAGATAAACTTTGCTTCTTCATCTCTCTTTGGTACATTTAGGTTTTTTAAATTAGTCCTGTTAAGCTTGTTGTTGGTAGAGTTCGAAATTGGTATGTCTATGCAAAACATGTTCGAATTATCCAAGTTGTCCTTTCATTAATTTACGCTCATCTGACACCAACGTTACTAGTTGACACGTATTTTCATTTCTTACCTTATCCAACTTGGTGAAATCTATCTTATCCACCTTGGTCATCTTACGAGCATTTTGTACTTTAATGAACCTAAGACTCAACTATATAGCATAGCTGATCTTTAACACATCTTCTTATCATACAGTGTCACTTCTCCATATCACTTTACCATGCTGAACTTGATGAATTATGTCTTCTTCAATATCTGCTTCTTCCTTGTTAATAATCAGACCTTGATAGTTAAAACAATCACTTTGTGGACAAAATAATGCTTTATAGTAACTTCATTATAATAAAATGCGTTGATAAATCTGTGCTTTATATGATTGAAATAATCGGATCAATCTCATTTGTTTCGTTATATTATTTTTGGTTTCTTACAAGTTTCTTGATAAGGCCTTACTTGCACCTGACAGTTCGAAGGAAGATGGGAAAGTTTGTAGTATCACTGAGATTGAAGAGGCCAAGGCAGTTCTTAGGCTCTTTCCAATATGGGCTGCATGTTTGGGATATTCCATTGCATATTCACAAACATCAACTTTATTCACTAAACAAGGAGCAACAATGGATCGTTTTATCACGTCTAGCTTACAAATACCAGCTGCGTCACTACATTCTTTTATCAGCATCGCCATTGTTGTCTTTGTTCCCATGTATGACAAAATTTTGGTTCCTACTGCAAGAGCTATAACTGGGAAAGCCTCCGGCATTACAATGCTTCAACGAATCGGAACTGGAATATTTTTATCTTTTCTTGCCATGGTAATTGCAGCTTTGGTCGAGAGGGAACGTCTAAAAACTGCTGCTGAACACGGATTGGTGGACATGCCGAAAGCAACAGTGCCTATGAGTGTGTGGTTGCTGCTACCACAGTATTTGCTTTTTGGTGTTGCAGATGTATTTACCATGGTCGGACTCCAAGAGTTCTTCTATGACCAGGTTCCAAACGAGCTGAAAAGCATCGGTATTGCTCTATACTTGAGTATATTTGGCATAGGGAACTTCTTGAGCAGTTTTCTTATCTCTTTAGTGGAGAAAGCCACCTGTGGTCCTGGGCGAGATGGTTGGTTTTCAGACAACCTTAACCGAGCTCATTTTGACTACTTCTATTGGCTAGTGGCCGCGCTTAGTGCTGCTGCATTTGCTGTGTACGTATACGCTGCAAAATCTTATATCTACAATAGAAGAAACTGTCATTGAAGTTGCATTTTGTGGTGGATAAAGCTACCCGTGTCCTAGGTCGAGACGATGTTCTTATCGGCTACTGGCTGGGCTTAGTGTTGCTGCTTTCGTTGGATAGTTCCCAAAATCTTGTATCTATAACAGAAATAAACAGGATTTGAAGTTGCATAAAAATGATGCAGGACAAATTTGGCCAGTAAAAGAGAAATACCACTACCGGTACATTCAACTTGTATAATAAATATAGTTCATTTGTGGTCAGTCTCACCTACGTGCGAAAGCATGGCCAGAGAAAATATTTGTTGAGCGGAAGATAAAGGTCACCAAGGCTTTAACCTGGCTTGATTTCTCCTAAAGTCGACACACTATGAAATCACCCAAAATCACTCAAACCACCTTTCATAAAAAAATTATCTTTTTATCTTTTTTATATTATAACGCTCTTAACCTCTTTATTCTAAATTCCAAGATTAAAAAGATAAAGTAATCCTCTGAGTTAAATTGGTTGTTTTGTATTCCGATTTTTTTGAACCTTTTCAAACATGGTGAAAATCTTTTTAATCATAGTCTTAAGCCTTTCTTAAAAGGTCAAGAAAAAGTTACGAGAGAGTAAAAAAAAAAAAAAAAAGCTGAAAAATTTAATTTGCTGAACAATAAAGTACTATAAGGCCATTACAAACATATTGATTTTTAGTTCAGTTCTTTTTTGCCATTAAACAATTATATATTATCTACTTTGCTTTGTTGTTCAGTAGAAAGTTCTAAAAAATTTATTGATATTTGTTTAGAAAATCGAGAAATTGGTAGAATAATTGTTATAGAAAGCCATATATTATTCGCATTAGATATAAATAGAGGTGACTCCTCTTTACAGATCAAGAAGAAAAAAAAAACAAAAAGCTGAAAAATTTAATTTGCTGAACAATAAAGTACTATAAGGCCATTACAAACATATTGATTTTTAGTTCTAATATTTTTTGCCATTAAACAATTATATATTATCTACTTTGCTTTGTTGTTCAGTAGAAAGTTCTAAAAAATTTATTGATATTTGTTTAGAAAATCGAGAAATTGGTAGAATAATTGTTATAGAAAGCCATATATTATTCGCATTAGATATAAATAGAGGTGACTCCTCTTTACAGATCAAGAAGCAATTTACTGAGCTTTCTATCTCTTAGTGTCGGAGGTTCTTGATAAAGGATCCTGAAGATTATAATAAAAGGCAAAAAGACATAAAAATTATAAGAGAAAATAAATATAAAAATAGTAAGATTCCATTTCTAAGAGAAAATTTTCTTATAAGATTTTCTTATCTTAATAGACTTTTTGGAACTGGTTAGTAGGCTTTCTATTTAGGTTGAGTAGTTTGATTAGAGGAACAATCACAGCAATCGGCTCCAAGTTCAGCTCCAGCAGCCCCTGTGTTAAAGATGAATGATCGGGGTCGTACACATATATTGTCGTGTCAACGAATACGTACAACTCTTTCATAGCTTTTCCCCGACACTCGACGATAATCCGATGACCCACTCGAGCATATACTCGAGCACCGCGTTCTCATTACCCATAAGTTGTAGTGATTGATACTCAATGGTAACGGCATAGAAGAACTCATTGTTCAATATTATTCGGCTAGGAACGTGGAACAATCTTGGATATCTCTCAACTTGATCGTGCAACAAATCTATGGCCAAGTCGATGTGCTACATCAAAGAAAACAAAAAAAAGAGGGATTTATTTCATTTAATAAACCAAACATTATGTATAAACAAAAAACTAATAATATCACTATTTTACTTACATCGTCAACGAGCCAAGCCCCCTGAGTGGTGATATCATCGAGCCATTTGTAAGCGTCCAATATCGTTCTTCAAGCTATTGTGCGGCTGACTCTGAAAAATAAAGAAAATGTTAAACGAAGCATATACGAGTTAGCGTAGACTACTAAAATCATACAATACTTACCTGACCAAAATTCTTTGCCACTCTGTCTCGAATGGTTTCCATTTGGCATGGTTGACCTCCGAAATAGATTAGGGTACATCCCATCGACGAATGAGATTTTAAACTAGTTAAGGATCATATAATGAGATTTTAAATTACGTACGATATAAATCATATAATGATAACTGATATCTTCAGGGACATCCGTCACTCGAGATACTCGCTAATGATGCATTTGAGGGCAACGGATTTCCTCTTAAGTAGCATAGCGGGCACTCAAAAGGGGGACAGTCTCGTACGCCCAGATCTGCAACACATACAATTATCAATTATTACATATAAATTCAATAGAAAGAATATTTTAACATTGATTATGTTAAACATTTTACCTACATCTGCCAGGGACAATCCATAAGTATCGTACTTACGCACGGTCCCCTTCGGCTTTGAGTACGATCTGGTAAAGACATGTACGGTGTCCTCGAAACATCTCCAATCCCATGAATAGTTGTTGAAGCCATCGATGTCATCGACGATCTCCAGATGGAAGAAGTCGATTGCTATCTTCCTGTGGTGACACGGCAAGACGCTCTCAAGGATGTAAACCAGACCAAGCTTCAGTTTGTCTAACATTTGATCACACCCCTAATTGCGTCGATCAGCTGCGGCAGAAGCACTGTTCCTTATCCCTCGAAGTACGTGTCGTATAGTCTGTTGCTTCTCTGAGTTGCTTCGTCGCCCGTAATCTTTAGTCCAGTTATCAGGGCAAACCTGAACATAGAGAAACTGGTGACTTTGCCCCTGAGGTCGAAGTGAAGGGCATCGCTGTCGATTGGACTCGACAACCGACATAGTAGCGCATTGATAATGTGACCCAAGTACTCCACGTCTATCAATTAGTACAGGGGCCAAATAAAGGATTGGCGCAACATATCAGCATGCTCCTCATCCAACAGCTCCAACACAATAATGAAACTATCAAAACTATTGTTCCAAATAGCTTTCCCTGGCATCTGTCTCAGCACTACGTCCAAGTGGTAATATATTTTGCAAAATTTCAAATGTTAAAATATTATAAAAGAGATAATGAAATAAATCATAATAATAAGAAATTAAAAGAACGGAATTGTAAATAATATATACAAGGCAAGATTCAATTATACAAACACTAATTAAAATAAATAAATTATTTACTAAAACAACAAAAAATAAAAAAGTAAACAAAATTAAGAAAAAAATAAAAAATAAAAAATTAATGGTGAAGATAAAAATTAAATTAAAATAAAAATTTAAAAATTATTTAAATTAATTAAAGAATATATAAATATTTTTTAGGTTAAAAATTAATAGAAAAAGAAAATTGGCAGTCGACCCACACTAACAATCGTTAAAAAATAAAAAATAATTCAAAAAATTGAAAATTATTAAAATTAAAATTAATAAAAAATGAATATTTTTTACCCTATTACCAAAAATTAATAATAACTATTAAAATTAAAATTAAAAAATTATGAAAATTAAATAAAGAATATAAATATTAATTAATTAACTTTGAAACAAGATACAAAAATTATAGGAAAAATATTTATGTTAAAAAATTAATAAAAAATAATTTTCCATATTATCAAAAATTAATAATAAAAATGAAATAGAAATAAAAATTTAAATTCAAATTAAAATAACAAAATTATTTAAATTAAATAAAGAATATAAATATTATTTAGGAATTAAAACTGAAACAACATACAAATATAAAATGAAACAAATAATTTCGGTTATAAAATTATTTAATTTGTTAATTTTTAATTTAAAAATATTCTTTTAATTTTAAAAATTCTACTAATATTTCTTGATTTAAAAATGTTGACCAAAAAATATAATGTCTATTTATAAAGAATAACGAAAAAATAATTATGAAAACATAAAATAAATTAAACAAAACGAAAGTGAAAGTGAAAAATTTAATAAAGAATAAAAATATTATTTAAAATTAAAATAATAAATTATTAATCAAATAAAAAATGTGGGCCGACTAACAGTCGGGTGAACTGGCTGTTAATCAGCTGGCCAACAATTAGCAGCCAACTGTTTAACAGCCACAGTTTTCTCTCGCCAGAAATCTCTATATCCAACGAGAAAAACCTCCATTTCCACATTAAAAACTACAAAATCTACCAGTAAACTCAGCAATCTACCTTAAATAACCTACAATAAATTGAAAAGTGATAAATTTATTACCTAAACCATTATATGAAATATGAAAGTCACTCCAAACCATTATCTAAAACAACTAACTTTGTAGAACTTCAAGTTCGCTGCCAACTGGGTTTCACCATCGCTGACTGTTACCAATAGCTAGTCGAATGGATCCCAACTGTGGTGAGTTTTCTTGGTTGGCCTGTTTGGCACAAGATTCTTTTGGGAAGAAAGTGAAAGAGAATGCAGGTATTTTTGGGTTTTGATCTTTAAATTCAATTTTTTTTTTTTAAATAAAATCAGTCAAAGGCCACTTTGTAAATACATATGTGTCAACTGGTCATTTCCCATGATTTCCTCCCACTTAGACCCCTTTCCATTATTGTAGAAGCCATATGCAGTAAACTGATATGGAGGGTAGATGATGAAAAAAAAAAAAAAAGAGAAGAAGAAGAAGAAGAAGAAAGGGAAAAAGGGGAGAAGAAGAAGTGTTGATTTCTTCAAGCTTAAGTTCAATTTTATTAATTTTCTTCAAGAGACACTTGGATTCTTAAGAGTACTTGGTAAAAATGATTATGTTGATGGAACTACTCACATGAAAGCATGAATTCATGGAACAAGATGAAAATTAAATTGGTGGAATTATGGTTACTAGTTTTCATTAGACTGTAAGGTGTGATTACTTCAGTGATTGGGATGAAGGTAAATTTGGAAATAGTACATATTGTGAAGGTATTAGAAAATAGAATTAAATCAAATTGTAAAAGAAATTGAAGAATTTATTCCAAAGTAACAAGGAATCAAGTTCTAGTATTCCACATTTAAATGTTAAGGGTACTTGGTATGGTAATTGTTGAATTGGTTATTTTGTATCGTATTTCAATGTGATGACGAAAAGATTGGAAAAGCTTATCGATCATTCTAATATGTAGCTTGAATTGAGTAAGTGAAAAATCTTATTTTTAAAAAATAAGTATTTATTAAACTTATATTAAATCAGAAAGTTAATTATTTCATATAGTTAGTTTGACAATATAATTTTCAAAATAAAGTATAGTCAGTTCTTTTTAAAGTTAAATTCAGTTAAATTAAATTATTTCATTCGCAAGTTATTTTATTATTACATGTTTCAATGTATCCAAAGTTAGTTTTAAAACCACCAGAAGTACCCAGGTAATTTTACATGTTGTACACTAATGTTAATGTGTTTCCACAGTGTACAACCAGATATGGTGATTTTACCAGCTCTGTGTTATTGTGAATGTGTTTCCATAGTGTATAACAAGATTATAGCCTTTGGGCAGCTCTACATGCGCATTACCATAATTACGTAATTGAATATTTTTGCCGTGTACTTCGATAATCATCGATACATGAGTTTGATTACTCTGAGTACCTTTTTAGTGTGATTCTTCAGTATTATATAGCTTATCATATTTTAAACTACAGAATTTAGTTTATTCAATATACAGAATAAAGATTTCAACTTATAGTATAGTAAAATAATATTTTTACTCATAGTTTGCATGTTGGATTTATTATACCCGTTATACCTTATAGTGGTTTATTTAGAATAAAGAGTAAATAATTTTATGATTCCATTGTGCTCTAATTTTAAAAATATTGTTAGACTTCAAACTACAGAATTTAGTTACTTCAATTTACAGAATAAAGATTTCAACATATATTACTGAGAAATGATATTTTTACTCATAGTATGGATGTCAGATTTATTATATCCGTTATACCTACAATGGTTTACTCCAAATACAGAATAAAAAAGTTTATGATTCCATTATGTTTTAATTTTAAAAGAATTATCGGTTGTAATAGTGTACGAGTTTCAAAAAGTTTGCATAAATATAAAAAAGTATACTAGTTTGCGAAATATCCACTCACTAAGTTACAAGTTCATAAATTTTCTCACCCCTTTTTATCAAATAGTGGCTGCGTTGAGCAGCATTGGAGCATGTCAATTCATTGAATTGAGCCACACATTTTTGAATCAATACACTTGAACATTAAAGTGTGATACAACACCATCTAACTAAAAATGAGCAGGGATTAAAATGTGAAAAATGGCATTGGAGACGAAGGGACAAATCAAGTAACCAAGATATAACATAAAGATCACCATGTTCAGGATAGGATCTACTCCAACACTTATGGGAACGCGTGTATCAAAACGACGACGAATCCTCCTCCTCCTCCAAAGGATGCCAAGTATCATGAAAATAGCAAAAGATGATAGAACTCCAACTATTATATAAGCGTGTATATTCTTTTTGCTTCCGGTTGAACAAATTTTGAAATCTGCACAGGAGAAAAATAGAAATTTGAGGAACAAAAATCATATAAGTGAAAGATATATCTATTTTTCTTTAAATTCATCTATTACTAGTAGGTTATACATTTTCAAATATTCATGCATCAAATAAAATATCGGCACCATGGCTACTATAAATAAACACAAACAGATGAAAAAAATTGCGCTAGTTATATTTTGGAGGTCCAGGTCTTTCTAGTGTAATTTGAACTTTGGCTTATCTGATATACATACCATGAGTATCCATAAATTTGTCATCGACAGCTTAAAGAATAAAGTCAACAAGTTCCCTGGGACATTTTCAGATACATTTAACGTATAAGACAGCTATACAATATAAATTAGATAACTTGGGGGGACATAGGATATATGAATACAGTTATGCCATTCAAATTTGCATATAGCACTTGAGCAGACAAGAGATGTATTAATGACCTTAGATCCTCTGCCACTTGTCGAATTATAGGGAATTAACTTAAAAATGGGGTTTAACTAAGAGGTCAGTTGTTAAGAAGGAAAGATGATCCAGCTTCTATCAAGATAACTTTTGAGATTCAATTATAATCTTCACTTTTTAATACAATTTTTCTTTGTTATCATCATATCAAGGATTATATCTTGTGCAGAAGCCTGGGAAATCTAGCTGTGCACAATTTTCTAGAGCAAGCAACATGTACACTTTATAGTTGGTAGCCTTGTAAAAATCTGAGAAGCATTCAGCTAATGAGGAGCAAGTTGAAGACCTTAGAAAAATGAACAAATCACATTGAATAATTCTCCCTTAAAGAGAATAAGTTTTTGTAAAATAATCATTAAGCACTTGTTTGATTTTGATTTTTCCAAAAAATCTCTTCGTAAAAAATAAAATCAAACAAGGGATAAATAAGAACTTTATATATATTTAATATAGTCAACACGGGCTGTATCTTTTTAGGTGGTTGAGCACACTTTCATAAATGGATAACAATGAGATTTAATCCCAAAACCTTTACAACTCTCGTATCATATTGAATGAGCACCTACATTTAAAAACTTTAACAAACTAAACCAAGGTTAAACATTTTTGATAGCACAGGATAACAAAAGTTCAGAACATAGCATATCTAGTTTCTTATACTATTTTAATTGCACATTCATAAAATAACAGGAAAACAAGGACAGGATTACACAAAGAAATTGTCAACTACTCACATGGATTGACCGAAATAGCGGATACTTGGGAACCATAGTCTCCTCTATAAGGAATTCGTGCAGTCCCTCTGCTAGCCCAGTGAAATCTAATCTCCAAGCTATTATCTGTCACCGTGACATTAAAATGTCTAGTCATGGGCCTTTGTGCTCCTCGAGCCCCATTGTACGTGTACACTAGCAAGCATCTTTTAAGTTGTCAATGATGGCAACAAATGAAGAAATTAGCTGGCCAATATATGCAGGAAGTGTAAATAGCTTAATCTTTTGAAAAGAGCTACTAAGGAGCTGCTACATAATTTTGAGCATATCTTTGCATCTACAGATAAAAGATAGAGCATGTTGCAATGCTATAAAAACACATTCCCTTTCAAGTAAATTCTTTTGAAATCTGAATTTGTCTCGTTAATGATTAAGAAAGTAATACAGTTCAAATAAAAATGAACAAGCATCTAGGGATCATTTACATGAATTGTTATTTTTCATTATGTTCGACCCAATGTTATGATTACCGAAATGTCCATTGACCAACCAAAAAAAAAATAAAAAAATTCCAACCTCATCAAGCCATATTAATTATATTCTTGACTCTCCCTTTCGTAACATGTTCTAGGAAGTAAAATTTTTATTTTTATTTTATTCTATAGTATGGCACATCCTCATTACTGTTGCAATCATCTTACTGAAATGTTGTCTAATAATGGTCTAACACTTGGTTCGACAAAGCATAAATTGTCTAGTAACCATTTTTTCAAACTTACCGTTTAACTCAATAGTAATCCCAAGATCACATGAAACTCATGTTGCTTTTCTTCATTTAGTTAAATTTACTATAGTCCTATACATTACATTCTCCTCAAATGCTTTTTACTTTTGGAAATTCATTATTCTCCAGAGTTTATAGTGGAATCATTACTCTTACTATGATTAAAGAAGATTATACATGCTTCTTAATTCTACTTAATCTAACACCTAAATTCCAAAATGCTACTCCAAAGTTTTATTACTTTCAATTTATTCCCCTTCTAGTTTCACCAACTTAACTTACATCATGTATCGACGAAGATACTTAATATTTGATATCTCATCAGTTCATTTATAACTTATAGCAAAAGGATAAGGATTCGTGGTGGTAATTTGATGCAAGTCTACTGCTTTCCTATTGGAAATCACATCCATACTAAGTCATAAATATCCTCGACAATATTGTATATCACATTTAAGCTCCATTATTCTATAGTACACACCACAATCAATAGGCTCTCTACTAGTAATCTAGAAATAGAAACAAATTATGTGCAAAATATCCAGCATGTTTAATGACAAAAAATGTGCATACATGTTGCTTCCATCCTTCAAGATTGTATCAGGTATATTTCCACTCAGCTTGTTGTTAGTAACGAACCTGTTTACAAAAATATCATAGTGAGATTGCAAGTCGTGGGTAAGGCAGTTTCCTATTTTATCTCACATTTACTGTAAAACTGCAGACACTGACTGTCAAAACCAACCAAATGAAGCAAAAGAATTTAAGTTGGACTCACACAGTTTCAAATTTCTTGCATTGTCTCTTGAAATCTCCCCCTCTAACTTATTGAAACTGACATCTTCACCGTGAACAAAAGCCTAATACTGTCAATTAAGAGTTTTCGAAGGAAGAAGGGAATAGGAATTGTATAAATAGTAAGGAAGTGAGCGTACATTGAAGACGGCAGGACCCAAAACATACTAAATTAGGGTTACAAAAGGCTCAAAATTAGAGGAAGATGAAGAATTTTAGTGGAGAGGGGCAAGCGTGAGGATGGAGACCCAACCATGACAATAACTTCATCTTCTCTGAATGGTGTGGGACGAGAAGAGGGATTGGAGAGTCAGAAGATTTAGGGTATTATAATGGGAGAAGGAAGAAGACTGGAATTCTTGCCAACAACTGAAAGAAGAGACGGCATGAGAGAGGAATTGAGAGAGGGAATTGTTAGGGTTTTATAATTGTAATTGTTCACTTCTCACGTTTGGTAATGAGTTTTTTTTTTTTTTTTTTTAATTTAAATATCTTAACAGGGCAGGTCAGATCGGTTCGGGTTAACTCAGGTTCCTTTTCGTAACGTTTAAAAAACGTTGCGAAAGACCATCGTCGATATATTCCATAAAAATGTGGTATAAGTGTCTATTTTATCTAACTTCTCTTAAAAATGGGAAGGAGAAAGGACAATTCATTCAAAAGTAAATGAATCCCATATTATTGTACAAAATGCAAAATGACGTTTTTTTTTTTTTTTTTTTTTTTTTTTTTTTTTTTTTCCAAAAAAAAACAAAACTTTTTTTTTTTTTTTTTTTATAAATTTTGATTTTTGTTGGTGAAATTTTTCCCTTTCTTTCTCCATTTCTCAAAGCAACCTTCCATGCTTCTTTTCTTCATTCTCCCCTTTCTTCTATTCATTTCTTCTTTTCTTTTCTTTTATTTCGTTTTCCAAATATTTTGTCTATATGGTGTTTAATTTCGTCTTCTCAGTGCTCAACATTCTAGAAGTTCTAACCCTCTATTTTATTTTATTTTTTTACGGAGGTTTAAAGCTTCTATCATAGAACAATCGAAAGAATTATTGAAACAAGGTTTTTGGTAAGTAAATCTAGATTTTTGCTATAAATTGAATGTATGTTGGTTTGATTTTACTGTGCGGTTTTACTTCGATTTTTTTAGAAGGGTATTATCATTCCGTTTTAATCGTTCCCGAAAAATTAAGGATTTTATTTTATTTTACGAGGCAAGCCAGGAATTATGGCAAAAGATGAAGTGGTTCTAATGGATCACTTGGGTTAGAAAAAAGCCCATGTCTTCAGCCATTCAAGTTTGGTGAGTTCTGGTCTTAAATTTTTAATGATGTTTCGTTTTTTATTTTCAATTCTGTTGTTGAAACGTAAATAGCGTAGATTTCTTGTTTGTCTGTGATTATACGGTTGTTTTAGCTCATTCATGTTATCTCTTCAAGCTGGTTAGGCAAATAAGGTGAAGAAAATCAAAGAATAATAAAAAAGGATTTTGGTTTTGTCCATATTCTTGAAGCAGCCAGTTATTTGAGTATGTGTGCAAGTGTATTTTAGTCGATTCTTTACTATTATTTTACTATTATCGTATGCCATAATGAATATAGAAAGAAAGAAATTTAAAGAAGAGAAAAAACAACAATATTTGCTCCACACTTTGTGGAGCAACTCCATGGTATTTTTTTTTATAGCTTTTTTTTGTCCTTTTTTTTTATACTTCTAGCAAATTTTTTTTTTTAAAAGTAGAAATATGAGATTTCTGGTAGAATATATTAAGTGGTCATCAAATTTGTTGAATTTTAGAAGTTAGATTTCTCTTTGATTTCCTAATTCTATGAAGTTTTTAAATTAAGTTGTTTACGAATGTCTTTTAGTGATAGAGAATATAAATTATAGAGAGTATAGATTAATAATAGTGTATTTTCTTCTGCAAGTTAAAAAACCATAGAGAATTAAACAAATAAAAAAAACTCCTCCGCTCTATGCAAAGGATTTTTTTTTTTTTTTAACTTTTACTTTTATCAATTTTTTTTTAATTTTAGCTTCTTTTTATTTTTTTAATTTTAAAGTAGACAAATTTCTTGAATCCTAGAAGTTAGATTCCTCTTTGATTTCCTAATTCTATGGTGTTTTTAAATTAAGTTGTTTACGAATGCCTTTTGGTGATAGAGAATATAAATTAAAATAATAGTGTATTTTCCTCTGTAAGTTAGAAAACCATAAAGAAATAAAAAATAGAAATAAAAATCCTCCGCATTGTGCAGAGAGTTCACTTGAACCCTTCGCACAGTGCGAAGAGTTCACGTGAACACTCCTAACTGTGCGGAGAGTTCAAGTGAAATCTTCCAACCCTCCGCACGATGCGGAGAGTTCATGTGAACTCTCCAAACTGTGTGGATGAGTTTTTTTTAAGTAGAAATATGAATCTTCTGGTAGAATCTATTAAGTGATCATCAAATTTGTTGAATCCTAGAAGTTAGATTCCTTTTTGATTTCCTACTTTTATGAAGTTTTTAAGTTAAGTTGTTTACGAATACCTTCTGGTGATAGAGAATATAGATTAATAATAGTGCATTTTCTTCTGTAAGTTATAAAACCATAGAGAATTAAAAAAAATAAAAATCCTCTGCATAGTTCGGAGAGTTCAAGTTGTGCGGAGAGTTCACGTGAACTCTTCGGACTATGTGGAGCATTGCTTGCTCCTCAATTTTTTTTTATTATTATTTTTTCATCACTACAAATCCATCTCCACCCCCCTCCCCACTCTCTCTCTCTTTTCATCAGTTCAGCTCTTCTTTTCCTATCTCTTTATACCAATGTTCTAAAATACGTAATGCGTGGCAATGCGTTTCGATAAAGCATCAAGCATTATAAGAATATGTGTGCTTTTGCGAAGCATATACGTTATTATGCGTTTTGCAATTTTTAATATTTTAAACTAATAAATAAATAAAATAATGTATTCTTTGAGTTTTTATACATATTCTTCGAATTAAAAAAAATAAATTTACTCAAATTATAAATACTACAATAAGACAATTACTTCAAATTTATATATATTTTTCAAATTTTCAACAAAAACATTTGCTCAAAATCATAAATACTACAGCTACTTGATAATCAATTCCTACAATTCAATTAAACAAGAATATTGACAAAAAAAAAAAAAAAAATTCTAAATCTTGTCTAGCTCTTTATCGGATTCTAATTCAATCTCCTCTTCTTCATTCAAGTCATCTTCAGTGTCATCCGATACGAAATCATCTTCATCGGGCTCCCTTATTTCGACTTGAGAATTTCTATTACCTCCTGTAGATGGTAATATATTGTCAACTTCCTCCTCATCATCACAACTATCAACAATCCAAGATTGTGCATTACTTGCATTACTTGCTAATAAAGTTTCTAATTTATCCTTCCTTTTCTTTTTGTTCATCAACCTTGCATTAAATTGAACATAAACTAGGTTTTTCATCCTTGTGGCATCTAAGCGGTTCCTTTTCTTGGTGTGTACCTACATAAAGAAGTTTAAAAATTTTAGTATGCTAATTTAAATTATCAAATAACTACTAAAGTAATAACTAAAATGCATCAACGTAATTATTTAATTAGTACTTACCCCTTCAAAGACACTCCAATTTCTCTCACAACCGGATGAACTAGTAGTCAAACCAAGGATCCTCTTTGCCATTAATTTCAAGTTTGGTGTTTCATTGCCATAAAAGTCCCACCAACTAACTAGTAAATGCAAAAGAAAGAGATAAAAATATTATAATATGTACATATGGTATGTTGACAAGAAAAAGAATAATAATATTAACATACCCGGATTGCAACTTGAAGTATTGTTCTCACACCCACATGATGCTAGTTTTCTTCCAAATGCACCTTCTTTTTGAGTGTATCTTTGCAACTCAACATTTATCACATGATGTTGCATTTAAGCAAAGGAAAAGAACTTTTCAACACAAAGAATCACATTATTAGTTATCAATTGATTATCTTTGATTTTTGGATTCTTGAAGAAGTAAAACGGATTCAAAAGATAAGCTGTTGTGTGAAGTGGGCTATCAATTCGATCCTTGCCCTTTACGTCAATAATGTTCAAGATTGGCATATAGTCACTTTTCTCTTCAACGTCTTTATAATGTCATCCTTTGCCTTTAGTAGCTCTCCATAAACAAATCCCATTGAAGGTTTCTCCTCTCCATCAATTAGTCTAAGAACTTTCACTAATGAAGTAAACACTCTCAAACACAAGTCTATCAAGATCCAAAAATCATTGGGAACAACAATATCAAAGGCCTATTTTCCCTTTTTGCTCTTAGATCATTTCGTATTATCCCATTCATTGCTAGTCATCATATTTCTCAACTCTTGTTTTTTATCGAGCAAACTTTGTAATGTTAAGAAAGATGTAGCAAATCTAGTGACTCCCGGCCGAACTATCTCCCTTTTTGTAAACTTCCTCATTAGTGCCAAAGTCTTATGATGTGCATAGATGAAAATAGTAAATGATTTTGCCTTCCTAATCACTCCTTTGAAGCTAGGAAGTTTAGAGATTCCCTGGAGCATAAGGTTCAAGGTATGAGTAGCACAAGATGTCCAAAAGACGTTAGGCCTTTGCATTGATAACAAATTCGCAGCGGCCATGTTATTGGAAGCATTGTCGGTTACAATTTGAACCACATTTTCCTCTCCAACCTCTTTAATACATTCATTGACATATTCAAAGATGTATTCACCAGTGTGACATCATCATTAGTTTCCTTTGAAGAGAGAAATGTGGTTCCCAATTTACAATTCACACACAAATTCATGATACTTCTTCTTTTGTTATCACTCCAAGCATCGGTCATAATAGAACACCCGTTATTTTTCCATTCTTTTTCTTGCTTCTTAAGAGTTTCTTTTGTTCTCTCCACCACTCCCTTCAAAAGTGGCTCGCTTAATTGGTATTGTGAAGGAGGGGTGTAACCCGGACCATGTTAACCAAGAGCTTCAACAAATTTTTTAAAACTATCGTTATCAATGGCATTAAAAGGAATTCCGGCTTCGTATACCCATCTAGCCAAATATTAATGAACTTCTAGTAACCCTTTATTAGCAATTGCATCATTGATATTTTGTTGTTTCATTTTCTTACTTGCAGACATAGAAGCATCATCAACCTTAATTGGCCTTGAAAAGTTATCTAGGGACCCACATGTATAGGCCTTTTCCTTCCCCCTTCAATGATAGAAATGTCTTCCTCTTCTTCCTCACGTGTAGACATAGATATAACTACATCTTCCCTCAACTTAGCTTTATTCAATGCATTCTCTAACTTCTTAGACTTAATCTCTTCAAGTGCTTCACGACACTTGGCTTTTTGCTCTTGACTTGCTTTAGGACACGATTTCACACCCATTCCCTTGATGCCTGCTATGTGCACTTTATGCCTATTAATCCCGGCCTTTGTTACTTTGTCACACAATGTGCATCTTACATTATTAGGTTTACTAACATCTTTAACAACTGCAGTTTCCCATCCAACATCTCCTGAACTATTTTTTAGCTCATTATCTTTTGAAATGGAATTAGATGCCTTCAAAGAATCATTTTGCTCCATTGGCTTCTAGTAAATTGAAAAAAATATATATAATAAAAGCAAGAATCAGCTTGTGAGCAATTATTTAATTTCATTTGAAGAACAATCTTGCTCCATTGGCAGCAGACTTAATAGTGAACTAGTCAGAGTTCATGTTGTAATCTCACTAACATAATGACCAATTATTTAATCTCATTGACCGATTATTTAATTAATATATTATCATCACAACTTTAGTAGATATCTTAAATTTTATGATTCATCCATATTATATTATATAACTTGCTTCTCTCTCTTACACAATTACACAGACTGACAGTCAGTATTAGAAATTGGTTAATTTCTTTCTGTAAACACCATAACCGTTAATCACCATAAAATTAAGAATAATATCAATAATAAAATTGAAATAGTAGACTTGCATAAAAGCCAAAAACGAACAGGTTTCCTTTAGTGCTTTTTAAGCTTTTCCTTGGTGGGCGACAGCCAGCAGGACGATGGGCATCAGGATTCAGGGTATGTATAATGTCCAGATGAAGATTTATGCTACAGCCAAAACCCTGGAGATTGTTGTATATAATTGATGGACTTATGTGATTTGGGGCAATTTGATGTTTGTTGGGCTCAATTTTATTTTTTTAAGTTATAAAAATGGGTTGAACTTTGTTATGTTAATTGGAACATATTTTTAATTACAAATGCGTGCGCATTTTGGATAATATGCGTGCATATGCGGTCAATGAAATGCGTTGACTGCATTATCATATGCATACCCCATATGCGATGCGTTTCGAAAACACATTGAGAATATGTGTGCATTTTAGAACACTGTTTTATATATGTTATTTCAAATTCTCTTAATCAATCCAAGAATACAATATTGTTATGACAAGGGCAACAAGACGTTAGTGAAGAAGCTAATAGAGAAAAAGGGCCATGAAATTTCTCTCCTCTGCATTATCCTATATTCCAACCATGAAATTTAAAAGAACGAGATTGAAGAAAAATCAAATAAGACGGTGCTTTTGTTGGAATTTTGACTTTCTTTTGATGAATCCATTTCATAGCATTTATGGGATGAATTTAAAGTTTTTTTTAATTAGTTTAAATTTTCGGTATGACATTTCTTGACATTCTGCTTGATTATGTTTTTAATTTGGTTGCATATTATTGGCTCATATTCTTTGGCAGGTGTTTCCCTATATATGTTTGAGCTTCAAATTTTTTGTAATTTGAGTTTTAGATTGAGTTTGGTTTCATTACATATTATGATCAAAATGTTGCTTCAAAATGGTGAATGGAGCTAGATAAATGTTTGATGAAATGCTTAAGAGAGAGGAGGAAGCTACTGATCATAATGTTTGGCTTTCAAATGTTTGACTTTTAACTGATCAAAATTTAAGAAATGATTCATTTTTTTCTCCTTTCTTAACAACAAGAATTTTTTTTTCGAAAAAATTTCTTAGCATTGTAAATGACAATTTACATGTTAGTTTTAAGGATCCATATGAAGAGCTCTTTGAATTTGGTCGATTTTATCTTCTTAAACATACTAGTCTTTTGTGGTGCTTGTTTATAGATTGACTTGTCGAGAGAAATGAAATTGACAGAGAGCAATGAAATGGGCTCAATAATAAGAGAGAGACAACTATTGAGAGAGGATGAAAAACGAATAGCTTATAAAAAGAGAATGAATTTACTCATTTATGCAGACTGCAACTTTCATGTCTCGTCTTCTTGTTTGTTTCATGACTCTATTTCCTCTTTTCAGAATAAATGGACTAATTATGCAGTTGCACATATTGTACATTTGAAATTTCTTATGTCGGTTCAAAATAACTTTGAAGTCATTCTAAAGCAAATTAAACCACTATAATGTCTTTATTAGGAATATTTATTTATAACAAATGTTGGTGATTGCTTTAAAGACAATATGTACAAATACGGTATGCTGTAATACTATATGTTATAGTTAAGATATCACATATTATACGTATATGCTATAATATAATGTACAACATAATATAATGAGAAATTATTGCTGTACAATTTTTTTGTTATATTACAGCAATATGCATATTACGGCATGTAGCTTACCGTATATGTTATAATATACAACCTGTGCGGTCATGCAACAACTTTTTATTTTTATCTTTTAAATTTAATTATGCAACTTAATATTTGTTTAGTTTGTTATTTTATTAGTTAAAGATATGCATTAAATCTAATAAAAAAATATAATTACAAGAATAAGTTTAGCTTCAATATAATACACAAAAAAAGACTCTTAAAGAAATAATCATTGCTAACTACAAAGAATATAAAAAAATAAAGAAGACAAAAATGAAAAAGGGTAATTGGCACAAAACATCCCTACCTTTCAAGTTCATTGTGGAAAACGTCTCTATCTTTCATTTTTTGATATTTTTACCCTCATTTCAACCTTTCTTTGCGATGAATGTCCTTTTCAACTTTTTTGACAAATTTACTCTCATATTTAAATAAAATAAAAAGAAAAGAAAAGAAAAAAATAAAGAATTAATTGTAACAATAGTCCCAAATTTTAAAAAAATTACAAATCGGTTACAAATATATACTTAAAAATCATTAAAAAAATTAAATAAAAAACCACCACCTCTGTGAATGGAGCCATCGGTGTCCAGCGTTCCATACCCAAACCGCCACCCACCACTAGATAAATCACCGGAAACTGCTCCCTTTACCGATGAGTTTAACCCACAAACACTTTCCTGTCAATCAATTACTCAAATAGATCATATAACCATTCAAAACTTAGAAGAAACTCTAACTAGTTTGAGAAATTGGTTTGCTTCCTCCATCAATTCCGGCGTCGGTAATGGGTCCTATGGTTGCGGACCACCCATTCCGACATCCCCTCCTAATGCTCCAACTATTACAGCAATGGGTCTTCGTTAAATTTCAACATAATAATTGAAAACATTGGGTGGTTGTTCTATGTCGATTTCACCATGTCGCTGAATTACAGAGGCTGCTGGGGGCGAAAAATTGGAGACATTGGGCAACTGTTTTTGGGGGCCGAATTGAGGATACTACACGCATAGAAACACAAAAATAGGGAGAGAAAATGGCTGGAATAAATTAATTATACACAAAGAAAGCTAAAGCATATTAGGGGCTGGATTGGATAATATATAACTATATTTATATACACACAGAAATTGCCTGTTGTGGGAGACTTGGGGTGCTGTTGGAAAAGAAGTGGGGAAAAAGATGGAATCACGTAGTTGCTGACAAGATAAAATCATACGTTTTACATTTTTGACATAAAAAAGAAAAAAGAAAAGGAAACTGAATTCCAGAAGTTTTACCTTGGCTTTCATCTTTTCCGGCTATCTTTGCAGCCAAGCTATCTGATGACATCCCAAGAATTAATTGTAGGAGTTATTTTGTGAAGGAGAGGGTAGCAGTGGGGTGGGGGTGAGGTGTGGGAAGAAGGTGAATATTTTTGGGGGGTTATTAGTACTTTTAAAAGTTTGGGCCTATAGTTGCAATTTATTATTTTTATTTTTCTCTCCTTTTTTTGTTTTATTTAAATACGAGGGTATATTGGTCATTTTATATTAAAAATTGGTGAAAAGGACATCCAACACAAAGAAATGTGAAAGTAAGGGCAAAAATGTCAAAAAATAAAAGGTAGGGACGTTTTCCACAATGAACTTGAAAGGTATGGAAGTTTTGTGCCAATTACCCAAACGAAAAAAGTAAAACTTGTGAAAAGAAGAAAATGAAAGCATGATGCCAAAAAATTTGGCATTATTGTTCGAATGAGAAATGTTTTATTGATACACAAAAAACTTTTGCACTCACCAAGTTAAAAGTATGAATTTATTATGTTGTCTTAAAATTTTTTTAAATAATCGTAATAAATCTTGTTATTACGCTAATAAAATTACAATATATAATTTTTTACAAATAGTATAAAAAAATCATTTTTATTTTCAACAAAAAAACATATTTAAAAATTAGTAATTTCATAATCACATTTTTATTTTTAAATTCCCGAAGATACAATTATAAAAAGAAAACAATATTGAATTACAAAAATCAATATCTGCCAAATACGGTATCTAAAGACAATATGTGCAAATATTATATGCTGTAAATACGGTATGATGCAAATACGGTATGCTGTATATATGATATGATGCAAATACGGTATGCTGTAAATATGGTATGATGCAAATACGGTATGCTGTAAATACTGTGCGCTACATATACGGTATTATGCAAATACGGTATACTGTAAATACGGTATGCTGCATATACGATAAGTTACAAATACGGTATGCATAAATACTGTATGTTGCATATACGGTATGTAAAGTGTATATATAGTATGAATGAATCTGATTTCTTCCACTATAATAAAATTTAGCACCGTATATGCTGTCTATCATATTTGTAGCTCACCATATATGCTTCCACCATATTTGCAGCTTATCGTATATATCGATTTTTACACTTACAAATACCGAGTATACAGAATATCATACATTTACTTATCAAATCGAATGTCAGAAAAAATTTCAAATTTTTATTTTTTCAACATAAGCATAAAATAAATATTAAAATATATGAAGGACAAAATATAAAACGTATATGAATATGCAAATTAATTTATAATTTTGTACTCAATCTTCAATTTTCCAATATTGAATTAAACAAAATTTAGAAATATAATCTTCACATTCAACTCAAATCATATCAACACTTCAAAGAATACAGGCAAAATAGTTTGTATAACCTCGTATATTTCTTAATTAAGCATGAAATATACAAGCATATTTTTTCTAGATAACACAACACTATTGCAATTGTAAAATTAATTTGCAATCATTTTCTTATATCATAGAAATATTTCTAGATATTATTTCAAAAACTTTTCAAAACACTAAAATTCATACGCTAATAAAAATACGATAAATACAAAATTCGTGCAACATACGTGACAGTGACTAGTGCTTACAATGATTCATTCT